TGTGTGTGTGTGTGTCTCTTGGTTGTTGTAAGAAGAGAGAGGGAGCCCTGTGCAAAATTCAACAAAGGTCTTATTTGTACTGAGACCTCAGTACAGACCCTCTGTCCTGTTCCAGTTAACAGGATGGAGATCACAGCTCCAGTAAAGAAGCCTCTGGCTTGCTTACCACCCAGTTTTGGCTTGCTGGGGACATTGCTGGCATCCAGGCTTTGGTTCAGGGCTGTAACTTGGTCTGGAACATTTGTTTAGATATTCAGTTTGACTGCACTGCAACAAAGGGCTGCATTGTCACGAGAGACCCCGTCAAGCACAGTGGTCCAGCGCTTCACTGTGCTGTGACATTCTCTGCTTTATTGCTTATGGTCTCATGAAACTGCAAGTTGAGAGCAGAAGCCTGAAAATCAGTGGTTGGTTGCTGATTTCTGTGGCTTTGAGCTTTCTCAGCCCAGCTGTTTTGGTTCTGCCACTGCCCTGTGCCATTGGTTTAAAGGGAGTGTAAATTCTGGGACCCGGGCAGAGGGAAGTGTGGTTGGCAGACGCTGTCCTGAGTGGAATATCCCAATGGCAAAGGCAGCCCAATCCCAGTGCCCATCTAGCCCACAGCCGTGTCTCCAGCAGTGATAAATGATAGAATCCAACAGGAACAAATCCTTCCTTCCTGAGCACAGCTAATGGAACCTCTTACTGGTCTCACACGGAGTGAGAGGCTCCCTGACCCTGCTGGGTTTATTATCCTGGTGAGATAACCACAGATGCTGCTCTCATGTCCAGTCCCTCGGGACACCCACTTGGCCGCCTGCTTCAGGAATATCACACGGCAGCAAAGTGCCTCAAGTGAAATACACAGTGCATTAGAGAGGGTACTGAAATCCAAGCGCATTCCTGAGCTCTGCACGGCCTTACTGTCACCCATGTCCTCTCCCTCCAGGCTTCCTGGATGCCCGGGCTCTGGCTGTGGATTACAGAAGCATCGGTTTCCGTGAGTGTCTCACCGAAGTTGTCAGGTACCTGGGCATCCTCGAGGGTCAAAACGCTGCCGACCCCATCCGGCTGCGACTCCTCTCCCACCTCAATAATTACGTGGCCGAAATGGAGCCTTCACCCGTGGCCACGTCCCTGCTGCCCATCCAGACGTGGCCGTGGTCATTCCTGCACGGAGCCGCCGGCCCTGTGCAGATCCCCAGGAGGGAGGCTGCTCCTGCTCCGCTTGTTTTGACTGCATCTTCCCTGGCTTACCCCAGCCCTGCAGTGAGGCCGGCCCCTCTCCGCCGTGTCCCCGGTGAGATGCTGCCGTCCCGCCGGAGCTTTTTGGCCAGCAGGATGGGCTCGTCGAGCAGGAGGGCTCGGGGTGCCAGCTCGGCCACAGCCGTGCCAGCCGTGCCCAGGATGCCTTCGCCAGCGGGAGCACTGAGAGAGGGCTCATCCAAGAGCAGCCAAATCGCCACATTCCTCTTCTCCCCAGCCTCTGCCGGCATCCCTGTGCCGCCAGCTTATGCAACACCTCCTGTTTTGGGCGCTGCCCCGCAGGGACCAGGGATCAGGGTTGGGACATCCAGGATCTGCCGCTCCTGGGCGACGGAAATCGGGGCTTTCTGACCCTCCCTTCCCCTCCGGAGACGGGAGTTCTTCAGCGCTCATCGCCCACAGGGCTGAGAACAAACTCGGTTGAAAAAGGCATCTTTCCTGCTTTGCAGAAGCCAAGGATCCGTAGAGAAAATTCTCTCTGCTCTTCCCTCCCTCCTCGCACCGCCCTCCTCGCCTCACCACCACGGCTCCTCTCCCTCGTGAAGCCTGCAAATGTAAATCACATCCAGTTCCATGCACTTGTCTGCACGAGGCCACGCTCCAGACCCTTCTGGCTACGAGGGAGGGGGCACACGCAGATTCCCAACCCCATTCCTCCTCCAGCAAACCCCTCTGCAGAACTCAGCCTTGCTCTCCTTTGGAAAACAGCCAGCCTTGAAATACTGTCTTTATTTCCCCGGGGACTCGGAGCTGCCAGCCAGACTTGCTCGTGCTGATTCCCTGCGATGCATCCCTCAGCTGCAGCACCTAATTTTGGTTGTGGTGGGATGGACACGGCTCACACCCTGTGCCCAGCACTGCTGGCACCCACGAGGCAGGCTCCAGCCCTCCCCCCAGCTCCCAAAAAGAACTGGCTGCCTGCTAATCCCCGTGCTTTCCTCTCTGCATTACCAGCTTTTCCCACTTATGTGCCCTTAAGGTGGAGTGAGGCAGCGGCTTAGCAGGGTTCGTTCCCACAGCCCTGCTGAAATCCTGCTGTGGCTGCAGGGCCTGTGCTGAGTTCCTGGCACAAATCCTGCCAGAGCAGCCAGCCAGGCTGCCCAGGCACAGCCCCTGCCCCGCACCGAGGTGTGAAGAGGTGAGACAGAGGATTTCAAAGGGATGCCTGTCATGGAGGGGAAGGCTCTGACGGCCAAAGTGAGAAGAAAATGCCTTTCCCTCTGCCAGCCTCCCTGCTGGAGCTGTCTCTCCTCCACCCCCTGCTGAACAGCCGTGACTGCAAAGGGGGAAAATGGGTTGGGGCAGCCTCAATTTGAAGTGCCTCCCTCGTTCTCCCTGAGCCCAGCATCCCTCACCCTCCCCTCCCACAATGTCTCCGTTTTCTCTGTCTCACACCTCTCATCCCCCTCCCTGGGCCGGGACCAAAACCCACTGAGGTGTCACTGCACTTGTCCTGAGTCTTGAGAGCTCTCCCTGCCTTGCCCTGTGTGCCCCATGGCGACTGACACAGCAGATCACACCTCTGCTCCTGCAGCTGGCCTCCCCTCCTCCTTTTTTTTGGGCAGAAAGAACAGAAATTTGAAGCTTTCAAGCCACCCTGCTGTGGCAGGACAGGGTGTCCCAGTGCTCCCCCTCACCTGAGCAGCTCCCTGCATTTGTGCCTTGACTTGCTGGGATACACGTGCAGAATATTCTGGACCCAGCTGCATGCCCAACCCTTGCCCACCTCTGCAGTACTCATGGAAAGAGAGAAAAGGCCTTTGCAAAGAAAGGTAAAAAAGAGGGAGAAGATCTCTTTTGAATGGGAGAGACTCTTCCCACGCCTCAGGTCAGAGGTGCAGCCGGTTGGGCTGTGTGGATGAGCTGTTGTTTTCCTTCCTGCAGATGGTATCTGCCATGTGCATGTCAATGTATGTATCTGCCATTGTTTGGGAAGTGAGTCCCTCCCAGTTGTTTTGATGGAAATCATCGCACTTAACACACAGAAATGCCTCTGCTGCTTCTCACCCTTGTCCTCAGGAATCAGCCAGGAGCAACATATTCCCTTTAAATAAAGTCACAGGAGGGAAACCCTCGTGGACCCTGGCTGTTCCTGCAGCTGGTTTGTGCACTAGAGCTCACAGCCTCACTTTACACTGTGCAGTGCTCTTAGATTCACGAGCTGTGACATCAGCAAAGGTGTCAAATAAAGTCTTTCAAACCCCTGTCCTGGTTGTGAAATGTAGTGTTGAAGTGAATCCAATCTGCTCATTCAGCCTGCCTGGACCTGTGAAGGTAATTGATGAGTAATTTTGTGGCAGGTTTTGATTCCTGAAAAGCTTAAAAAAAAAAAAAAGGTAAGATGCAGCTTTTAAGGTGATATCCCCTCTGATTGTTTTATAGCTCTTGGTCATTCTGGTCCCAAGACTTCTTACTTTGGAAAACAAGTCAAAATCAGCTGAGTATTCACCAAGGCTTGCCCTGAGATTGGCAATAATCCATCACTCAAGGAGAGATCATTTTATTTAGTGTCTGTAAAAGTGTCAGGGAACACTGATGGGGTCCAGAAGAACCTTGCAGACAGACTGAGGGCTCGCCCTGCTCTCCTGACCCTTTGCAGCCAGGACCAGAATGACCCCTGTGGCATTTCTGTCGGGAAACGCTTTGGACTAAACAAAGAGCCACAGCTGAGAGCCTGTCTCTGTTTTGAGGCAAGGACCAGTAAATGATCCCTCTTCGTGAAAGATGCTTGGGAGAATTTTACTGGGGAATGGTGGGAATTCAACTTCCTTTCCCATAACTCCTTCTGGCTGCAAAATGCCTTTCAAAACCGCCCATAAATCCCTTCCTTAAGTGCTGTGTGGGGAATTGCTGGAAGGGAGCAACTGCAGCTGTGATGGAGTAATGCAGCATCCGTCTGGAAGCGGGGAGAAACTTCAAGAGCAATAATGGGGCTATTGATGATGGGTCCCACTGGTGCCTGGGCTGCCCTGACCCGGCTGGAGGCAGTGGTGGGAGCTCAGTGCTCTGGTGTGGCCTCGGCCAGAGAGAGAGGAACCAAAAAATTACCCTCCGTGGGAGGCAGGCACACAAACCGGCCCCGCGGGCTACGGCGCTAAAACAAATCAGAGACAGCGGGGAGAAAAAAAAAACCAAAACCCACTTCCTGATCTCTGCGGATCAAACGGGAGCCGGGGCGGGTGGAAGGGCATCGGTTCAGGCCCGTGGGGTTTTCTCCCCACAGCAACACGGTGATTACAGAGCAGTAGCTCAGGATTGCAGCTTTGTTTTAGGTTGGTTGTTGTTTTGTTGTTTTTTTTTTTTTTTCCCAGGGTTTTCTTTAGCCCAAACTCTAATACATCCTGGCAAACTTTTGATCTACCCTGCAGGGGAAATCCCCGAACTCTCCGTGCACTCCCTTCATCCTTGTTCTTCAGGCAAAAAAAAAAAAAAATTCCTGATGGAAAGGGCTGTGGGAAGGCGTGGGCTGGCGCTGCTCGGTGGCACAGTGGTGTTAAACAACACCCCAACACGGCTGGAACAAAACAGGGCCCTGATGAACGAGCTTGGAGGGGACAGGGACACTCCCAGGCTGTGGGAGATCTGCTGTGCAGCAGGTGCTCCAGGAGTGAGACTTGCTCTCCCAAATTCCCCTGCATGAAAAATATTGCTTTATTTCAGTTCTGCTGCTGTCTGGGTGAAATGTTCTCCCTCCTTTCTGCTCCAGACCCTCCCAAATTCCCTCCCAAATTCTGCTCTCCCAAATTCCCCTGTATGAAAATATTGCTTTATCTCCTTTCTGCTGCTGTCTGCCTTGGGTGAAATGTTCTCCCTCCTTTCTGCTCCAGACCCTCCCAAATTCTGCTCTCCCAAATTCCCCTGTATGAAAATATTGTTTTATCTCCATTCTGCTGCTGTCTGCCCTGGGTGAAATGTTCTCGCTCCTTTCTGTTCGCGGAGCAATCCCGCCCTGCCATCTGCTGGTGAAATCCTAAAGCCGTGGAGGAGAAATCCTAAACCGGGGGCAGCATTTGCTTGAAAACCTGCCATCTGTGCTGAGAATTGGGTGATGTTTGAGGGTGACCATCCACGGCTGAGGGCACAGCTCAGACACAGACTCTGGATGATGGATGGGTCACCCGGCAGCACCACGGGTGGGGATGGATTGGCCAGATAAAGCCTCTAACAGATGTCCCCTGTGCTCCAGGCGCTGCTGAAGGTGCCGAGAGGGCCAGCAGGGAGGATCTCAGGTATCACTGATCACCAGGAGCAGCTGCACTCGTGTGTTGAGAGCTCCAGGAGCAGTGGGGTCCCCTGTGGGGTAGTTTTGTACCCCCAGCCCATCTGGGGGGCTGTGAAAAGGATGGAGCAGGAAGGACACAGCACTGTGGAGTCCCCTGGGAGGGAACACAAATGTCACTAAATATGTTTCAAATCAGAGCCGTTCACAGCACAGCCACAGCGGCTGCTGCAGCCAAAGGGCGTTTCATGTGGAAACACGCTCTTGGAGCTGGGCTGTGTTTTGACTTTAGCTGTCAAAGCAGGAGCTGAACACTTCCACAGGAACATGCCTGTGTCAGTCCCCGGTTTCCCAGCGGAGGAGGTGCCAGCTGTGAAGGACCAGGCACAAAACAGTGGCAGGTGTGATGCCACCAGTGCAGCCGTGCTGTTGGGAGAATGGTGAGGCCGGGAGAAGGAGGATTTGTGCCACTTGTGATTTTCAAGACAGAAAATATTGCAAATCACTACAATTTGCTTTGCTATTTTTACCCTTATTCTGCTACTCTTGATTATTCCACTGTAGTGAAGGCGAGGATGCCATACCCCATTTTTATGATAATGTTGTCTCCTGCTTTTAGAGCAAATTAAAGGCAATTTAACAATTGAAAAGCCACAATGCCTGTATCCACAGACTATTTTAGTCCCCCTTAACAGGACAGCCATGGATCCTGAAGGTCACTGATGAATCACTGAATCCTCACGCTCCGCTGAAGATGCTGGAAATAGATAATTACGGGTCTCCCTGGAGCTGATCTCGTGAGCGTGAAGCCACGGGACAGCAGCAGAGGGGAGGGTGAATCCCTTTCCCATTCCCGCAGCTTTTCTGCTGGGAGCTGTTTAAGCCTCCCCCTGGGAAGAGGGGCTGGCAGCTCGCTCCCATGGCGAGACATCAGGAGCCTTGGTCCCGCTCCAGGGCAGCCCGCGATGGCAGCTGGAATTCATGGTTATTTGAGGGAAAATGATGCTCTGAGGAGGAGGAGGAGGAGGAGGAGGAGGAGGCGGTGGGAACAGCTCCAGCTCTGACTGCTCCTTATCCCGCTGCCAGCGACACCTCCAAAACCAGAGCTTGGAGCAGTGAGAACAATCCCAGAGGAATTGTTTGCTCTTCTGGTGAATTCCTCTGCTTGCCCTGGTCCCAGCCCCATGGCCCCGCTCTCCTCAGGAGGCTTCTCTGGATTTTTTGTGTTTTATGGTGCCCTGCGAGACATCGGCATGTGTAGGATGGGGTGGGAGAGGAAACAACCCCAAAAACTCCTCTGGGGTTTTTTTGTTGTATGGATCCATCTCTCTGCCAGCTGCCCACAGGGGATTGTCTGTCCCTAAACGCTGAGGTGAAAATTGTGTTTTAGTTTGTGCTCTTTGCTGGGAAACACTGAACAGTCTGGCACCATCCTTTGACACCCCTTGGTGATATTTTATGGGTTTATGGGATCCCCCCTCAGCCGTCCCTTCTCCAGACTGACCAGCCGCACTTCCCCTCATGAGGGCGATGCTCCAGACCCCAAATCATCTTTGTGACCCCTCTCCAGCATCTCCTCGCCTTTACTATCCTAAAACTAATTAGGGAAGCCCCATAACTCCCAACAACGATCAATTTTGACAATTCCCAACGCCGCCCCGTTCTCCCGCGGCCGCCCCGAAATGGCGGGGAGCCGGCGGCGGGTCCTCCCGCCCGCTGGGGGGCGCTGCGTGCGGCGGGGGGCGCTCCGGGCCGGGCCCGGCCGCCTCCTCTCGGCGGCACCGCGGCCCACTCGCGCCGCCGCGGCGCCTATAAAGGGGCCGCCCGCCGAAACCGCCGCCCC